CTGTTAACAGAAATCCATTGTTTAATACCAGTAAATTATTATATATATGTGAAAACATATTTTACATGATTGTTTCTTCCAAGATAAATATTCTAAATGTTTGATATTCATACGATATCAATCTCTCCGTTTAATTATAGATAAACCTATTTATATACCTTATATGTAAAATAATTGATTTACAGGGGAAATGGGGGATAAGATTTAGTTTTATTTTTGAAAATATGAAATCTACAGACAATACAAACACTTGAATAGGACAAAATATTTAATTGACAATTTAATTGACAATTGACAAAGGAATTCGACTAAGATCTCCCAAAATTTTTCAGTTATTTTCCTGTAAAATTTCATTTTTTTTTTCAAAAGATGAAGACCGTAAAAAAGACTTCTCTGAATTAGCTCTTGTGTCCTACAAATGCAATAAATTGGTCATCTGCAAACTTAATTGACTGAAACATTCTAATTTTAATTAGAAGTACTCCGAAGAACATCAAGTCTTCAAACAATCTGCTGAAATTCTCATGAATACTAACTGCGTTTCGTTATAAGCCTATTTTAGTATTCATATGAAGCAGAATGTTTTCAAAAACTTATAATGAGAAAGAAGTCTGATGCCGTGGCCTTTAATTCGGCAATTACAGATATCTACGACGTTTTATCAAAAATAATAATATTCCTATTCACTCGTACCTTGATCGGATATTTCCTTTTGAAGTTGAAAAAAAGAACCACAGAGTCTGACACATCTGTTTCATTTTCGGATATTAAAATAGAGAAAGATATTGTATACTATCAACAAAACCTTATGACAAACGTGGTGTCTTTACATTTTCTATCGTCATATTCCTTTATTTATGAAGCAATATATCATTTTCTCCTGCATATTGAGTTGAAGTCTTCCAGTTGATTTGATATGCACGGTCACGTTTTGTGAAGCGAGACAAGCTATTGGCAAATAAGTTGATGATACAAGGATATAAACAGTCTCGTTTAAATTCAACATTTCGAAAATTGGTAGCCCGTTTAGTGTGTAGTTATGTTGAATGTTGGCTGAGGTTTTTTTTTTTTTTTTTTTTTTTTTTTTGTACAAATATAAAGGCCATTATTTTCCCACTAAATTGTCTACGGATTTGTCCGTTTTCTCATGACAAAGAGCAAACAGCTGCCTGACCCGTTCTGGGGATGTTCACTCTTTCATGGCACCTGATCCCACTTCTGGTGGTTTTTAGAGGACCGTGTTTGCTCTGCCCCAAATCTGTATTGTTCCACTAGAGTCTGGAGCTTGATTTCTGTTCGTTTCCTCCGTATTTCATTGTTAAATACTAGAGCTTATTTAATCTCAATAAACTCCAGATTTACTGCTAAACACCCTGCATAAAATGTGTTAATGATTAATGAAATGTTTATGTATTAAGCAATTTCCATTAACAGTTAGCCCGCATCTAGTCGGCGAGGCATGAATAATCACTGGCCAATACCCTTATCGGGAAGAATGTGAAAGCAAGGGCCAAGAATTTTCACCTACATGTTAAAACGTGTGTATCTATCAAAGGGACTCAAGCAATTGTCTTTGTTACCAGCTACGGTATGTGGTTTTCGATTACGTTGTAAGCAATAATAAAATATACCGAGGATTGATATGACTTCATCACTTTTGAAACTGCTTTACATCTGGATAAAAACTCCGGGAAATGACTTTAATCATAAAGTTTTGTTGAGTTTTAAAGGATAGTTTTATAATGTATGTTAAATATATAATGGTTATATAATTTTGTTTTTATAATTAAATTTCACAAATCCTCAGTAAATAACTTCCTTATTAAAGGGCACCCAATCAAGTACATGGCATTGGCGAAAAAAATTGAAAACACTATCAATGTCCACTTTCCTCCATCCGTAGTCATGTCACAGAATACTTCTCTTCAGATGTTGTCGATGTATAACATTGACAATGAAACACAATACTCACCGTCCATCCCCCTCCATCTGTCGACATGTCACAGTAGACATCTCTACGGGTGTTAGGGTATATGATATACACACCATCTTGTCCTTTCTTACTGGCGTCTTTTTTTAAGATCTCTAAGCAATCCTTGTATCTTTTTTCTAGTTTATGGATGAAATTTGAAGATAACAAACAATAAATATACTCAATTTCCAATCCAACAATACAAATTCAAAATTTTGAACAATGCACAATTTTAGTAATAAGAAAATCTCCTCAAGTTGCTGCACGTGTCTGTGCATCACATGTTTTCAAAAATACATTCAATCTCTTGTGCACAGAATTACTAGACCCTTCTGTTTCGCATAACAAAAACATTTTTGCTGATAATTTTTCTCAAATGATTTGAGAATTCTAAATTAGCAAAAAAATATATGGGATCTGTTGTTTCTAAATGCCAAAATGTACATTTTACAAACAATCATGAAGAAATTGTTCCCTCGTATACATGCAGAGCTGACAAGAAATATATCAAAAGATGCCATTCTTCTAAGAACTACTGTTGATTCTTTGTATTATTTGTCACATTTTTTTTCTTTTTGGCAGGCTACATATAAAATATAGATAAAGAACAGTGATTATTCTCAAAAGTTCAATTAAACAATAAAAATTATAAGCAGAACAATCTGAAAATAGGGAAGGGGTCAAGAACCAAGGACGAGCATTAAGCATTCCCTGTCGATCTTCCTATCATGGTAAGATAAACAAAAGATAAATTAGGTGTGAAAATAAACGCCTAACAATTTGTATTAAAGATGTCAGTCAATATTCGATTTGATTAATGATTTTATTTGCAAACAATGTCATTGTAACAACCATAGAATCAGCGGAATTGACTTTAAACGAGATCGTAGGTACCCTTTTATTATCAACTTTTTTTTTTTTTTTACAAATTACCTGCATCTATTAAGAAACTTTTTATATATGGTATATTGCTACATAAATAAGGAAAGTTGACGTTCGAAAAAACTGAAGTCATCAGGTTTATCAAAGAGTTAAGTTGTCAGTTTGCCCGCAATGTCTTTCAATAGTAAAATATTCAAAAATGAAAGAGATGTTTTAGACTCAAGTAGGTCTTTTATTCGAATTCAATGGCATATAATATTTTAATAATTTATAAATATAATGCGTTGTATCTATTTTGATAAACATTAATCTCTGTAATAAATGCGTTTTTAGTTACAGGTCTATTATGGAATGAAGGAAATTTGTTACGAAATAAAAGAAATTTCCGATATATTATTTCTATTTACCCATATTATGATTTCATAGATACCACAATAGAACAAAGTAGATAATATCGAGCAAAAGCATAAATCTTTTGTGCATATTAATTTATTGATTTGCGATGATTCACACAAAACCTATAAATACAGAAGCAGAAAATACATCTAATCTTTGTATGTATTTTTTTTTTACGCCTTCCATTACTTTATCTATTGTAATAAACATGTTTGCTCAAATATGCAGTTCATTGTAACAATAAGCCTCCAGATCAAAAAGTGTTTTGAGGACATATAAAAAAGTTTTTTGAAGATATTTTATCCTCCTATTCAAAAAAAAAAAATAAAATAACCAAAAGAAAAGAGATTTATTTATCAAAAATGTTAAAATGTTATCAAATAAATAAGTTATGCTTCCAGAAAACGTAAAAAGGAAATTAAGCCTAAGAATATGACTCTTATGTTACCTTTAAAGACAGGTACACATTTACCACCTATACAGACTTCATCTTCAGAACAGGAATGGTTCAGACAATTGCCCGCCAAGTGCTGAAATTAAATAAACTCAAATTTGTGATTCCCTTAATATGTTATCAAATATGTTACAAGAATTCTCTCAAAACATCCGCTACCTTTCTTACCTTCGGAAACTTATCCCGCTCGACATGAATGGTGGGGCTTTCTGTCATTAAAAGACTGACATTCTTGATGGCAAACCTTGTGTTAAGCCGACATGTCTTATTATCTAGAATCCAATCCACTGAACTACACAAACTAAACCTGTAACAAACCGTCATGCACATTGCAATGTCAGCATTGGTCAAAAGCTTAAAACCAGGCACAGAGGAATTTTCATAATTGCTAATGAGCAAACTTTTTGGATTGAATGGAGCAAAGCACTGAGAATAACATGTCTGTAACAATGCCAGAACTTGTCCAATGAGGTACAGACAATGAGTGGCTGATTCCATTTCAGGAGTTTTCTTAAACAATGTAGCAATATTTTTTGTTTGTGGGCTCTAACCAAGACAGTCATGAATGTTAGATTTCCACATTTCCATAATGTATATATATACCTATGGTTAAAATTTGTCTATTAATAATTAATGAAGTCTAATGTGAGAGTTTCATGTGTAGTTATATTGTTCAATGATAATAAAATAGCATACCTGGATTTTTATATCTATAATGGCTTGGTGAATTCAGAACAATGAATAAGTATCAAAAATAGTATTAAATATTTTAAATAAATAAATAAATTTTATTTTCACCCTTTTAGGTACTGTAGAAAAAGTGGAAAAGAGAGATCTATACTAATAAAGAAATAATCAACACGATTCCTCCCCAAGACACTAGCATTAATATAAGCTTATTGCCTCGCCATCCGTATAATACAAAAAAAGTGACAATATGTCTTTTAACACGAATAGTTAAAATTAACAAGTAATTTACAAATAGTTAATTTAAATATGACATTTTTCTGAAAGTAATTTAAAATTGTCAATTGCATTTTCATTATTAGGTATCAGCATGGAATGAATCATTTTTAATTTTAGATTGTGTAGGTTTATAATCATTTTACGATCATGCACAGCTCTCTTTTCTTAACGTGTCGCTGTGGTTAATGAAATATTCTTCCTGAATTGTTTTGATATAAGTCTCTTAATTCAAAATAAACATAACGGAAAAGTTCTAAAATGATATATGAAAGTAGAAGTTTATAAAAAATTTTGCGTCATAAGAATACAAATATATGTTTGCGAATAAAT